TTTTCATCAAATGATTGCAGTAGCTTAGCTACCTGGCAAATGCTGTTTTCTTGTGCAGTCTTGTTTGTTATGTACATGGACCAATTATGTTGTTGCAACCAAAGGCTTGCTAAGCTTGTTATGCGAATATTGTTTTCTTGTTGTTAGCAACCAGAAAAGGACCAATGACATTGTAACTACAGGTTAACGAGAAAACAAAAATTACTTGTAAGTGTTTAGGTTACATTGTTAACAAGGTCTCGACCACGTTACTTATCACCTGATTACGAGTTTGCACAGATGTGTTCAAAAGGTATGAAATATTCAAGTTTAAGTTACAAGTCGTCAAGTTTGCATGGGAGTCAAACAACTATGCAGCAGGCCGTGAATTCTGCATCAATGAAAAGTTGGTTCGTAACTGGCAAAAGCAAGCCAAGAAACTAAAGTGCATGCCTAAGAACAAATGCTGCAATCGCAAGAAACAATGCCAGTGGCCCAAGTTAAAAGACAAGCTTCTCTGTTGGATTAAAGAGCAAAGGCAGTGGCTACATCATGACCCAAAACATGGTCACCATCAAGGTGAAGGCAATGGCCACCAAAATTCAGATAACCGGGTTCCTGGCCTCCAACCACTGGTGTACGAAGTTCCTTCGATGGAAGAATCTTGCTCTTTGACAGAAGAAAAAGATTGCCCAAAAGTTTCCAGAAGATCTTGACCAGAAGATTACGAACTTCCACAGCTTCGTCATCAAGAGCAGAAGGAAGCTAAATTACAAACTTGCCCACATCTGCAACATGGACAAAACGCCTGTTTGGTTTGACCTGCCATCAGCCAGAACCATGAATGGGAAATGGGAAAGGTGAGAAAACTGTGTTGGTCAACACAACTGGTCACAAGAAATCACAGTTCGCTGTCGTACTTGCGTGCCTGGCAGATGGAACAAAGCTTAAGTTTATGGTGATCTTTAAACAGAAGAAGTTGCCAAAAGAGAACTTTCCACCCAGAGTTCTCATACACTGTCATCTGAAGGGGTGGATGGATGAAGTTGGAATGAAGCTGTGGATAGAGAAAGTGTAGCAGTCATGACTCTGCAGTCTTCTGAGAAAGAAAAGCCTGCTTGTGTGGGACTCCTTTCAAGCTCATCTTGTCGACTCAGTGAAGCGAGCAGCACGCCAAACAAAAAACAACATTGCTGTAATTCTTGGCCGTTTAACCAGCATTCTTCAACTGTTAGAAATTTTTCTAAACAAGCCATTCAAGGATCGTCTCTGTGAGCAATGGGACAACTGGATGATTGAAGGCCAGAAGAGCTTCACTCCTGCTGAAAACGTGAGAGCAGCATCCCTTCCCGCTGTATGTTCATGGGTCCTAGACACCTGGCATAGTATTTCAGCCAAGATGGTAGCCCAATCCTTCAAAAAGTGTGGCATTTCCAATCTGATGAATGGCACAGAGGGCGAAATTCTTTGGGAGGAAACTGAAGATGCGCCTTCCACTCCAGTTGATGAAGAGGATGAAGATGAAGAAGTTTATGCAGACCACCTAACATCAGAAGAGTGGCAGAACTTCTTTGGCGACAGCGATGATGAAGAATTCCCCAGCTTTGAGTAAGCAGGGACTATGCTTGTTCCAAAAAACAGCTCGAATTTAATGAGTCTCTATTTATTCTCCCTATTTATTCCCTTCCCTGCCCCACCCTTTTCTTTCTCTACTTTTTCATTTTTCTCTATTGCTTTCGCAAGCGCAAACTTCAGAAAGCACGTGAAGTTATCTTAGCTACCAGTGCTCCTCAAATTTGTAGTTTCCATGATGGCGGTGTTTTCATCAAGTGATCCTTCAAAGCTCTTCGGTGTTCCTTCGGTCTCCTTTCAAAAGGTTATTTAAATGCAAGAAGATTTCATTTTCAAAACGATTTACAAAAATTGGCAAATTAGTTCTCCAATAAATCAAAGTGCTCTTGTGTGCTTAAATCATGAATTGTGGTGATATAGACAACTTCACAGCACACAGTTACATTATCAGAGCAAAACTTTGCTCAGTCCACTTGTAGCAACGTTCTCCATGTCAACAATACCAGACAAGTCGCCAGCAGAGTTTTCAGGCTTGACAATGGCAGAGTCAAGTATGAGCATCAACAATCTGATGAACGTTTTACAGAACCTAACAAGCAACTTGTCAAGACTAACTCAGGGCTGAGAGGCACAGACAACAGCTCCTGCTGACTTAAAGGAAGACCTTCTCCATCAGGACGATACATCAGATGAAGAACACAACATTGATAAACAGCAGGACTCAGGAGATATCACTGCGGTTGTAAACAGCTGTACACTCAACTCAAGCAAGAAAAACATGGTTTCTGATGGCCACTCCAGCTTGGAGGCTCAGAGCCAGAAGAATACCATCAAAAGCTTGATCCAGGTTTATCAAGCTAATACAAAAAAATCCTCAGCAATCAAGGGTAAAATTGCAGAGCTCACAAAAACTTTGCTTATGGGTGGCCTCTCTGCCAATACAGCTAAGGAGAACACCAAAAAATACACACCACAGGAGAATATCAAGTTTCTGAGCGTCTCAAGTGTGAATGAAGAGGTGTGGGACTTGCTCCCATGGCATAGCTGAATGATGAATCAAGCTTTCCAAAAGGTACAGGAGGCTCTGTTGCCTGGCCTCTCTGTTTTATGTGCCTTGACCAGAAAACTAATTGTTTCCATCAACTCTAGCAAAATGCCCAACGCAAGAGAAACTCTCACAACTATCATGGATAGTGTTGCTCTCCTCTGCCACACCCATTTAATATTTAAGAACAGCATTTGTTTAAATATCTCTCTCACAGATGAATATCACTCTTTTGAATTAATGGATTTTCACCTATGCATGGTGCACTATGTAAAAATTCTGCTTGTCTATCGACCTCCTGGCTTGTCAACGTCGTTGTTCTTAGAGGAATTTTCTAAGCTTTTGGAACATATTACTACTAATCTATGACATAAGCGATTGTTAATTGTTGGTGACTTTAATAACCATGTAGACAATTCCAATGATGCTACCGCTAGACAATTTCTGGACTTCCTGGACTCCTTTGATTTCGTACAGCATGTCAGAGAGAAAACACATGCTAATGGACACACTCTTGATTTAGTAATATCTAATGCAATGGATCATTTTGTTAACGACATTAAAACAACTGATCCTGTCATCTCTGATCACTTGGCTGTTCATTCAACTCTACATCTAGAAAAGCCCAGATTTGTAGAGGAGGTTGTCTCTTCTCGAAATCTATGCCGTATTGATATGAATTCTTTCTGAAGTGATATTGAAAGATCTGTTCTTCCTCAACATCAGGATGATCTCCATGTAGTTGTGAATAATTATGATGAAGTCTTACGATCACTACTGGACAAGCTGCTCCTGTGAAAGAACGAGTTGTCACTGTCCGTCCATCTGCGCCCTGGTATACAGTTGAAGTCACTGCTGAGAAGAGGAAACGAAGACAACTTGAACCTAAATGGTGAACATCAAGACTCCCTGCTGACCGCGTACGTTATGTACACCAATGTAACATTGTGATCAGTCTGATTAAGTCTCTTAAGTCAGAGTACTATTCGTCTATTATTAAAGAAAACTCTGGTAGTCAAAAACACCATGAAAAATTGGATTTAAACAGATTTGCAACTGAAGTAAATATGATGCAAATTTAGGCCTCCAGATTTGACCTAAATTTTGCAATGAAAGCAATGATGATGCAAATACAGATATTTATTCCTGCTGTATTTGCGCACAAATGTGAAGTAAATATGATATCTACTTTAGCTTTGCTTTGTTTTTGATACCTCCGCAAATCAACAAATTTGACTTACATTTATACAGATTTGCTCTATTTGCAAAGTATTAAGTTTGCTTACAGCACAAAATGTAGGCAAATATGGTGTAAATCCTTTGTTTGCATCATTGTTTTACAAATGTTGTCGAGGCTTCAAACAAAAACATTTGGACGTGTTTTACTCATGTTTTGCTACAAGAGCAAATATGCTCATATACACTAAATTTGTATTACAATCAAACGAACAAATTTGCGCTTGTAATCTCACATTTGCCATCTATGCAAATATGGTCATCTTCGATGAATTTACAACCGTTATTCTCATATTTATACATCCATTTTTGAAATTATCTCATTACCGTTTCAATCCAAAACATTAACAAATCATATATTATCGATTACAAACTATGGTTCGTTCACAAAACTACTCAAAACCTCGCAAAGGGTCGACACCCACCGGAATGAAAAGAAAAACCGACTTTTCACTAACTGAAAAGCGATTTTCGCTGACCCCGCGGGATGAGTATTGTGGTCGTGAATCAACAAAAATAAAGATGCTTTACATGTAATTTTGAAACAAAATTGCCTTTTCGATGCAAAAAATCCTAAAAACTCGTTTGTAAGGAATCTAGGAATCAATGGTAGCGTGTACAAGAATTTCTGTAAATTAAACTAAAGTTGTGTTTACATAGTATGATTCGCTAGGTCCTGAGGCAGTTCTGCTGCCTCAGTCCTTAACATCAGTGAGTAGCTCAAGTACGCCGATAGTGCCTACGAGATCTAGAGGGGAAAACAATAGCATGAGAATTAATCGTGTTCTTGTGCCGTTGTTGCAGTTGGCCGATGGCAGTGAAAGGCCAAATGATGGAGCGGGTGAAAGTTTACCAGCAGTAGTTCTGCAACAGTTAAATACGTTCATGGCAAGACAAGAATGATTTAATGAACGCCTCAAATAGAGGATTGTGGCTTTCGAAGCACAAAGCCAAAATGAGCGGGAAAAGAAGGTGTCTAGGCGCCTGCCTAAGGCACTTACTGTAAGAATTAGTGTATTTTTAAGCTTATTGTTTACAAGTTCCGGGACTAAATAGTTGTTTTAAAATGATCTCACTGCTAGCTACGCGATCAGAAACGCGGAAAACCCTAGCTTATTCTAGTTCTCTTACCATCCTTCTTGAAGACCTTTTGAAGGGCAAAGCCAAAATGGGTGGGAAAAGAAGGCGCCTGCCCATGGCGCTAACGGTATGCATTAATGTATTTTTTAAGCACATTGTTTACAAGTTCTGGGACTAAATAGTTGTTTTAAGATGATCTAACTGCTAGCTACTCGATCAGAAATGTGAAAAACCCTAGTTTATTCTAGTTCTTATAACATCCTTTTAACCAGCTTTAATGTTATGCCCAGTTGGTGGTTTCATATGATATATATATTTTTATACATATATTTTGGATTCAACAAGCCAATGTTAGGGAAGTTTACCAAAGCCTTGTTGGCCGAGATGATGGCAGGGAGATCCAGTGGGACTTGATGATGATGACTTGCCTCTGGTACATAAAGTAAAAGACCATTTTTAATGTGTGTGCTATTAACATTGAAACTGTACACAGTAAGGATGCACCATGCAGTTTCTGATGTTATTGATATTGTTTTTTCTATCAGAGAAGCCACAGATAAATGCATAACAGCTGGGTAAAATCTCTTGCCCCCCAGCCCTAATTTACAGCCCTGAAGGTCTAAAAGCTGCATACACTGTCTAATTAATGGTTTAGTACCTAATGTAACCGCCTCTCTTCTTGTGCAGAGCCCAAAGTGGAAGTGGTTACAGCTGGAATTTTAAACTATGATTAAACAATTATATTTAATCTCCTAGCTTCAATGGACCTGAAAACAAGGTTGTAAATCAGCAAATTTTAGCTGGAGTGCAGAGTACTGACCACGAAACACCAGTTGTTACAATAAAAGGTAAATTCACCTTTTTTCTTCTTTCTCGTAAAATTAATGTATCAAATGTTTTGTAACAAGTGTTGTTGCTTTGGTTTGAGTCTCATCCTGACCACTACCTGGATTTGTTTCATGGTAGCCTTGAGTTCAAATCCTCGGCCATGCTTGTAAATAGCCAACTGATATATATGTCAATATATATATTTAAATTTGAATTTTTCCTCGGTTTACAAATTTTTTTTAATCAAACCAGTTTAATTTTTATTTCCATTATTGAGGTTGATTACCATAATCTAGAATCTGAGACAAAGGAGAATGAAAATCAAAATAATTTAAATATTTTAAAACCAAATAAACATTAAAACCACAGCATAATTGCTTACATGTACCCACTGGATTGGTTAAGAGGATAATAAACTGCACCCACAGTCCTTCCTCTTCCGAATTTGGTTGTAAACAGTTTATTGCACTCACATGCAGTTTTTAGATACACAAGTTTTATATCAAAATGTTTAGTAATTAAGAGGTTTTTTTTTAAGAGGGTAACACAACAGTATATGAGAATACTGACAAACTTGTGGCCTTCTGAAAAGTAAAAGTACAATTTAAATTAAAAACATAAACCTAATAATAAGTGTTAAAATGGTTAAAAACTTAAAGCAAATTACCCTTTACCGTGTTTCAACAAGACAACATTACTCTTTTTTAGCTGCTTTGCGTGTCCGTTTCCGAACTAAGAGACGACAAGAGGTAAACAAATCAAGAAATGCAGCTCAGGATGTATTAAAGCAACAGAGAGCCCGAAGCAGTCTAAATACGGTAAATAATATTCAAAATTCAAGCTGTTTTGAGTTTTTCTGCTGTTGAACACCATAGCAATGCTTTAAACAAGACCCAGTATCTGTAAGAGCTCTGCTGGGTAGAATCAATAAGCTAATTTCAACCCAAACCTTGTCTATTTGTGACTTTCATATTTAGTGTAATTGTGAACAATTTTGATTAATTTATTTTAATACAGAAAAAGAACCAGAGAGTGAAAGCTCTCAACCTTTCTACATCTTTGGCTGCAGAAGACAAAGATCAGTACATGAAGTTCATGACCACAGACTATATGTCATCAGAACATTCCATGTCAGAATCTGAGGAGGGCGAGTCGAACAGTGAGCATGGCTATGAAAGCTCAGACTCAGAGAGGCCAAGAAGAAAGTTTTTTGTGTAAGCTCACTTCAGTGGCGGAGTCCTGCACTAACTCAGGTCATGCACAGTCTTGACCGAAAGTCAACTCGCAGAAGGAGTGCAAAAGGTGCTAATATGTTAGTGGAAAGGCGTCGTACAGGCATAATCTCGAGCTGCCTTGCTCCTGATGATGCTGATCCCTTTGCACTGGCATAATTGGTACTTTCTGCCCTCCTTTTGTACATGTAACCTTATTTCTAAGGGGGTGATTTCATTAAGATTTTGAGGTGATGGGAAATGTACAAGGAAGCAGGCAAAATATGTTTTGATTCTGATTTATGTCAGTCACAACATGCAGGAAAAATTATGTTCCTAGCCAGTCAATTTGCCCAGTGTCAGGCCCGTGAAACCCCTTCTTAAGCTTATAGTATGCAGTGAGATATTATGGAAGCCAGTGTTGCCATAATGCCTGTTGTTGTTGGTCTTCTTACAGGACTGTCATCCAAACATTCTTGAGCAATGGAAACCAAAAGTAGAATGTTTTGCTTAACACCTACTTTGAACAGAATTTTACCAAGGGAAAAATATCACTGGCTTTGCTACAGGGAGAAGATAATGAAGATAACAGATGCTGTACTTCTTTGCAGGAGGAAAGGAGCTGTCACATGCTTTTCCAAAATCGATGATGTAGCCATGTTTGTTACTCACAAGAACATTCTTAGCCTTCAAATCACAGTGAAGAAAGCCTTTAGTGTGAATATGCGAAAGGGCTTCTGTTAAATCATGTGAAATAATTAACCAGTCATTTGTTATGAGTGAGCTTTGCACATTCTGTATTGTTGCACTGTTTTTCTGACAAGACAATAGTTTGCTTATTGTTACAGATGTATTGTCTTCCCCTTTAAACTCCATTATTAAGGAAATGGGCTGCTTTTGAAGCTGCATACCTATTATGGTTGGGATATTTTTATGTGGGAATGCCTGCATAATGTGAGCCTCTTTCATTATCTCTGTGGTGTCCTGCATCAGAGACTGTTTTTCCACAACCTTTATATCAAATCGTGTGTACTGTCTCAGAAGGCATCGACCATAGGATCCTTCTCCCAGTATTATATTCTCTCCATTGGTTGGAAGAAGTTCAGTATGATTGATTAAGTTTACAGTGGAATATTTGGTACTTGCATTCCTTTTAAAAAACTGGAAAATGAAGGCAAATATATTATAGAGAGTGTGCTTAAATAAATACTAGATTGCAACACAAGTAAAGGTGAAAATTGTTGATCTCATTGTCTGGCATGCAAATTACTGCAAAGTAATTAGAAACATTACTCCTCCTCCAGATGGATTAGACATTAGCATTGGATTTTACTTTTTTCTTGGCGTGCTCTCTCTCGACGCTGCCGCTTTTTCTTAACTGCGTCTTTCTTTTTTTGGAGCTGAAGTTTCTTCACTTTTGTATGTGCTTCAGCAAAGCTTACTTTAAATATTTTCTCAAAGTGGCCATTCACTTTTGAATAAATATGTTTTACAGCAGTTTTAATGACTTTTTGCGTTGGTTTCACTTTACTTTGTGTCTTCACCCCACTTTCAATAAGGACCTCTTTTAAAAGTTTTCGGGTTTTGAAAGTTTCTCTCCTGTGGAAAATATTATGGATGGCATAATAGTGCCCTTGACAACCTCCACAATTTGACAGTGTGTGCTGTTTCTTCTGCACTGTATTAAGAGCTTTCCAGTTTACCATTGAAAACATGTCTTGGTACTGGGCCCTGGCTTTTGAGTTCATCTTTCGGAAAGAGCTGCAAATTGCTTTGGATTTCTTGACGTAGGTGGAAAGTTAGACCGCAAAGACTTCTTGACTGTCACCCTCAAACGCTGCAAGATAGTTCTTCCACTTTACACTAGGGTCAGTTTTAACCGAAGCACTTCCAACCTTACGAAAGCTCTCCTTTACAGCAACTCTTACAAATCCACAATTAAAAAATGACAAACATTTTCGTTTCACACGAATTCAGTCTCGTTATATGGTACTACTTGGGATAAATTACAAACGTTCTTTATTCTTACCGCCCAAATGTGCAAGTTAAGAGACGAGAAGGTGGTTCAAACATAAGAAGTTCTTGTGTTTTATTATAACTGTCAAAGGCGATCTAACTCTGGATTTACAGAGATGCAATCGACCTCAGAAAACGAGAAAAAGAAATAAAGATCATCAAAAGTATACAAAGTTTGCCTGTATTACTTCTAAGATTGCTCCAAGTAGTATTTGGTAGAGTATCAGCCGTTAAATTATTGCTTCTGAACACTCGCGTGTCAAAATGGTGGACACTAAGTTGAATACGTGACTGCGAGTTTTCAAAATTCCCACCTCTTAAACAGTTTTAATTTGTCTTTTTTCCAAATAAATAGGAACATGTGGGATTACTTTCATTGAAAGCGGTTGGAACCAGGTAAAGGCTAAGATGTTTTCGGGCGAAAACCGTGATAAAGGAAGCAGCTTCGCAGAGACAAAACTTGATTTAATCTGCCTAGCACATCTCTCTTTTTTTTGGCAGCCATTCCAAGTGGGAAAACAATGAAAAACGTTTCAAATATTCATAGCGATAACTGCATTTTGATTTGCCTTGTGTTTAGTGGTGGGAATTTGCTCAAGAAAGCGACGAATTCGGCACCTAAATTAACTGTTTTTGGCTGTTGAGAGTATCATATTACACTGCCACAATTCAGTCCGAAAGAGATGGTAGTGATACACATTTCTGCCAAGTATGAGGAAAATCCCTCGCAAAATAGCTAAGTTATTCTCAATTTTGTGAAAAATATGGGTTAAAGGCAGGATGACCCAGGCCTTAATTAACCTGAGTTGGGGTATCGCCAGATCTTCTAGAAGAAATTATAGAGAAGAAAGAAGATGAAACTGTTCAAGAAGGCTAAAGAAGATGGTAAGACTGCCTATTTTCAGTAGGGCAGAACCTGATAAACTGTTTATCAACAGTGTTCAAATATTGAATTGTAGCTAATACCAAAACTCAGGCCATGTACAAATATGTTTATGTATTCAAATTCAAGCAATATTTTGCTCCCCAAACCTGACTTTTGTAATCTTATTGTTCCTACATGTTATGAGAATTGCAAGACCCTGTTTGTTTGTAACTAATTTAACAGCTTTTGCTGGCTACTTTTTAAATTGTTTAGTTGTATGTCATTCTGTCTTTTTCCTTTTGTTTTCACCCTTAGATGTTAATGTGCTAATTACTTATTGTACTAGTGTGGGTGGCTTGCACAACGCCTATGACTTGATCTGCATATCTGAAGGGGCTTTTCAAAATATTCATTTTTCCCACTTGCTTTACAAATTCTGGTACCACCTTCGTATTTCATGAAACGTACTTTAAACTTTAAAATGTTATCCCTAAATGTTCAAGGGATTCATTCTCTTGACAAAAGAGCCACTTGTTGGTAACTTTTGAAACACTTTTGTGGGCGACAATCTCATATCAGCTTGACTACTATATGTAATGTGTTTGTCAAACAGGATTCTAGGGATGTTCCAAAGGTTGCTTATATTCACTGTAGCCTTGAGATTCCAGTAACTCATGTCAGATAGCACTTGGGTGTCTGCTGCAAAGATGAGTTGTAAATACAATATGATTGTGTGATTAACATTAATAAAGATGAAATTTCCCTTAACGTTAACGCTACTTGTGCAAACATTGTAGTGATATGAATAAAAAAAGTAATTGCAAAGGCTAAGATTAAACAAATGGTAAAAGGCAGAGCATATACCATCTATATCTGCAGGTTACTGTCCTAAGCACTAAAAAAGCGGAAGAGTTGGCCAAGACTTAGTACAGCTCTGAGTGTTATGCAAATGTCCCAAGTGCATCCATAATGTAATAGTGCACTGTTCTAGTGCTTGCCATTATTCTTATAGTAAACCTGCGTGAAGTTATCTGAAATCCAACTGGGTGTCACTGTGTGACAATAAAGTTCCCTGATGCTAGGTTCATACATGTACTTATAATATTACCTACACAAATACTGAGAAAAATCGGGAAAATTTCAACATTTGGCCCCTGATTGAATGTGAAGAGTTTTTATCCTGGGGATAAGGGTTTTATGTCCTTCATATATTTATTACCAGGAATGCCATATTGGTGTGATGTCCATCATGAAGTTCATCATGAAGTTCACAAAGTTATTTTGAAATTTCCAGCCCAAATTTAAGGCAGTTGAAATTCATTACATGCCCTATGCAACATGAGTTTAGGAGTACAAACAAATTAGACAATAGGGAAAGCTGTGTCATGAACATGTATAGCCATCAATCACTTATGTTATGTCACAATAACAGACTAATTACTTCACTTTCATTGTACAGTCAAGTCTGATTGATGAAAAACATTTGGTCAAATTTGGTCAGTCGGATCAAATGTCAGTGAACCTCCAGATCTCAGAATTTATTGCAGGGAGACAACTACCGATGAGTCCACTTCCTTACACAAACATGGCAGAAAGCAAACCAACATTTAGACCTCACATCAACCTCCTGAAATTACAAATCCAACCATATCATGGCAACACCCTGGAATAGTTAACATTTTGGGATAGCTTTAATAATGCAGTGCACTACAATCCGATCTACATAACATCAACAAGATGAATTATCTAAAGTGCATGATAACTGGAGATTCAGCATGCACAATCTTGGGATTACCAATCATGTCACAAAACTACAATACAGCAATTAGAATGCTGCAAGAACGTTTTGGAAGAAAGCAAGTTCTAATTAATGCACATATGGAATCACTCTCAAAACTCACTACCCCTAAATGGAGTGCAAACAGACTGCTATGGAAGCTTGTTAATTCACATACTTCTCAAAAAACTGTCAAACGATTAACAATGCATAATTTTCAGGGCTAACCCAACAGCATTTAGTGCATTAAATGACCTGCAGTATAGTATGGCCAATTAGCTCAGGATACCACTCCATCAGTGTCGGCTACAGACAACATTCTTGTATCTACTGCTGGCACTTTACTCTACAAAAACCTCTCAACATCTATGAATAACCGGATTTAAAACCATGCATATACTGTGACAGTAAACACTGCCACAACAACTGTGATATAGTGAAAACAATAAAACAGAGGAAATGAAACTAAATCAACAAAAGAGATGTTTCAATTGCCTCCGCTCAGGCCGCACAAAATACCAATGCCACTCAAGAGGAAGATGCCTTAATTGCAGATTAAAACACCATACTTCAATTTGTGAACCACGCCAACCAAGTCAAGATTCAAACAAAAAACTGACTGAAAAACAAGAAAACTCAACACAAAACAGCAAAGACATTTGGCCTACATCAACAACTCTAGCAACTATGGCTATCACTCACACAAATGTGCTACTGCAAACTGCCATCATTACAGCAAGCGGCTCTACAACATGACATCAAGCACACATCCTCATCGATACAGGATCACAGAAAACATTTATTACACAAGACTTGAGAAATAAACTGCAATTAAACCCAATCCAGAATGAGACAATAGACATAACCACTTTGGGAACAACCAAAAGTACT